AAAAAAACTTAGCAGTTTTAAATCCTTTTTAGAATAAGGCAAGTGAGGAGGCATGAATGAATGGAGATTGGTGAGTATTAAAAAGCTGAAATAAGCTGGGCTTGGTGGCTCAGCCTATAATCCCGCACCTTTGGGAGACTGAGGTGAGTGGATTGCCTGAGCCCGCGGGTTCGAGACCTGCCTGGGCAACTTGGCGAGACCTCATCTCTACAATAAATCAAAATGAGTCGGGTGTGGTAACGCGTGCCTGTAGTTCCAGCTACTTGGACAGCTGAGGTGGAAGGATCACCGGAGCCCAGCAGGTCGAGGCTGCGGTGGCCTGGAGCGGCCACTTCACTCCAGTCTGGGTGACAGAGTGAGACTCCAACTCAAAAAAAAAAAAAAAAAAAAGCTGAAATACATTGAAATACATGGAATTCGGTGACATTGATAAGACATTGAATTTCACTGTCTAGGAAGGACAGGTATGGCCTTTACTATCCTTTATGAATTAGTTCTTGCACAGGGGAGGAAAAACCACAATCTCTAATATGTATTAGTGGAGTACAATGCAATATTAGGAGTTGCTAACATTCATTTATTATATCCCAGGCATTGTGCTAAGTGGTATACATGCATTATCTTTAGAAGGCTCTAGAATCTCTGTATGGGGGAGGTTTTGCTTGAACAGCAAGGCTGGGGGCTTGAACTGAGGTTGCATGGCAGATCCATTATCTTTTCTTAAATGATAGGTTTATTTGGGATTGCTCAAGGGGGCTGGTGATTATGTGTGTGATGATACTGCTTTCTTAAGTTCCAACAAGTGATAAGTCACGCCTTAGTTCACTGAATCTTCACAACAATCCTGTAAGACAGATACTGTTATTTTCCTCACTTTCTGCATGAGAAAACCAAGACTTAGAGAGATTAATAATTTGCTGAAGGTCACATAGGTAGGAAATGTCAGAGCCTCATTTGAAAACAAGTTTGTCTGACTCCTGAACCCCTGTTCTTTGCTGCAGAATTCTACTGCCTGTTTGTACAAGGACTAAACATAGAAAATGATTCTGATCAGTCTTTATACACACACACACACACACACACACACACACACACACACACACACACTCACACACTCTCTTCAGCTGAATTTTTTTTAAAGAGCCATGAAGAAATTACTTATTGAATGTGATAAAATACATTTGTTGAAAACAACATTATTGAACAAAAAGATCCTTTTGGTAACTTAATAATTTGTCTTTTATAATGAAAATTTATTTCAGAGGATGAGTCGATCCAGCTACAAATGAGTCAGATTCCTCAGAAGGGCATTAAAATACATATAATAAACAGATATTAAAAAGCCAAAGACATAAAGGAATTTGCAGTGAACACGATAAGCACAAGCCACACTGAAAAGCACAGCCTGAGATTCAATGACAGACTTTTGCTCGGAGATAGGGCTTTTTTTTACCCAAAGAGAATAGGAGGGATATTCCCTACTTGATGCCTGCAAACTTAGTGGGGCAGTCTTCACTTGTCCTTGAAGATCTTGATCATGATTAAATCTATTTATTTTAAATGTCAAGAACAGTAAAACTATGCCATAAAATAATGCATATTATATATCAGGAAATATCAATTTGGAAAGAATTTACGACATACTATTAGGATGTGAAATATATATATATATTTTTATAAAATGAACCAAAAAACGTGTGCCTATACACATACATACATAGTCATGGCAAAATCACTGAAAAGACATACACTAAAATATATTAAGCCAGACTCGGAGGCTCAGCCTGTAATCCCACGCTTTGGGAGGCTGAGGTGAGTGGATTGCCTGAGCCCGTGGGTTCGAGACCCGCCTGGGCAACTTGGTGAGACCTCGTCTCTACAATAAAATCCAAAAAATCAGCCGGGCGTGGTAGCGTGCGCCTATAGTTCCAGCTACTTGAAAGGCTGAGGCGGAAGGATCGCCGGAGCCCAGCAGGTTGAGGCTGCAGTGACCGAGAGTGTGCCACTGCACTCCAGTCTGGGCAACAGAGTGAGACTTCAACTCAAAACAAAACAAAACAAAAGAAATATATATATATATAACCAGTAGTTTTCACTGGTAGGTGATTTTTATTTTATTACTTTCTGATTTTTTTGTGTGTATTTTCCAAGTATTCTGGATCAATTTT